AAAAATCAAACGCAAACAAGAATTTTGCAATTTCTGTATTCTTCATGAATCAAATTCAGTGAGACACGCATGCATCGTAAAGCACGTCACAATAATTTAATTTTGATAAAACCAGGACATAACATAATAATGACTTGCTGGCCCTACTTAATAAATTACGACTTTGATATAGTAATTTTAAAACAGCGTAAGCTCTTTGTAAACAAATACTTACGTGATATGTAAACCTTATATCTTCGTCAAACCAAACCCCCAGGCTTTTAATCTTTTTGCTAAAAATTAAATTTTCATTTCCTAAGATAATTCGATTGGCATAATTCTCTAATAATATTTTCCTATTTAAATTCCTCCCAAATATGATACCCTGAGTTTTTGATGTATTTAATTTTAAACAATGATTTTGAGAAAAAATCTGAAGATGAAGAAGGTCATGATTTATTGCATTTACCGCTTGATCACACTTATTTGGATAAACTGACATATAGAGTTGGGTATCGTCTGTGTAATAATGCTGTAAACAGGACAAAAACACAAAAACAGAGGGAAAATTAGATATATACATAGAGAATAAAATTGGACCTAATATAGATCCTTGAGGCACACCAGTATTAAGATATATCAATGAAGAAATATTTTGATTAAGTTTTACTGCTTGACATCTATTAGAAGCTCAAATAACTTTTGTCACACACATTCGATCGATAAGAATTTTTAAAACTTTGTTTATAATGTAAACCCCAGCTCTACATCAATATTTGGCTTTCCGTGAATTTTTATTATTTTAAATGTCTATATTCACCGGAGTATAATACGTGCGGAGAACCCCAAAAAGATGGCCATAGCCTATATACTTGTTGGCAACCGAACAAATTTGGTACCAACATGTTTACACTCGTAATAAAAATCTGCAAAACTTTTCTAAATAACATTTTTTTATTTGGTTGGAGGAACATGTAAATAAATCAGAAAAAGTAAAAATTTTGATTTTATAATGTTGATGAAATTGTATATTTAACGGTTTATATATTTCGGTTTCTAGTTTTGATACAATATACTATGGACAATTCTGCAAAGAGGAATACTGTCCAAACTCTTAATTTATTAGATACTTAATACTGATGATAGACAAAAGACTCGTCGGATATTTTTTTATTTAAACATTTGTTCTAGTTACAACATTTTGAACTTCCCTTTTTAACCAACTCTACATTTTAAATTTAATATTTACAGACGTTCTTCAGAAAGTTTCAGATTTTCTTTCATGGTCAAAAAGTCCAAACATATAAAAAAGAAAGAAATAACACCATCTTTTCGAACAAACAACAACTTAAACAAATATATTAAGAACAATAAGAGCCAAAATAAAAAACACTTACACAGTGGTATATACACTGGCCCAAAAACTTACATCGGTCACACTGGAAGAACTTTTAACAAACGTAAAACAGAACATAAAACGGCTTTCAATAATAAAAAAACAGATTCTACGTACGCCCTTCTAAGCTATAATCATTCTTTTAATGGCCAATTTCAAATTCTTCACATTCAAAATAAAGGCCTTAAGGTATCTTTATTAGAATCTATAAAAAAATGTATAAAGGAAATTAACAAATTGAAAAATACAGATATAATTCTGAATGACCAACTTGAAACAAATAGTTATCCTCTTCTCAACTTATTCAGTTAAAAACTATAAAGTGTAAAGACATACCAAAAATAGATCACTAGAAAAAGGCACTCTGCTGTAGAAACAGCTGTATTGATAATTAATTTTGTGGAAGTGTTGGAAACAACAGTTTTTTAGTGTTTAATCGTTAAATAAAAATTGAAACTAGGTGACAAAATTCTAGTTGCTATACAGGTTCCCTTAAACGTCGCTCAAATATGAGGATTCGAGAATAAATCCAAATATTAATACATTATTAGCATAAAATTTGCAATATATTTGTTGCTAGCAATAATTGATATCTACAGGAATAAAAATTTGTATTACTGGGTACCGTCAGGAAATATCTAAGTAATATAAGGCATTACATTTTATTTGCATATTTTTAAAATTAGTTGTGTTTTATGTCTAAAATAGTTCTAGAGTATCCTAAGTTAGACATTATTCTTAAAAAAATGTGGCTTCCCCTATTACCTCAACGTATGTCGTCAAAAACACTGACGTTGTACTTTCAACGCTTTTTTAACGGTTTCAAGATTGAGTTTCTCTTTTTGATTCACATTTACTCATATTCAGTAATCCTTGAAAGACTAACCTTCGAAACTCAAACGTGCTCATCTTTTCGATAAGGTCACAGTGTATAATGTATGAATTAACAGATGCAATATCTAAAAATCCCCAAAATAAACGATGCCTTATTTAATTTTACTTAACTTTATTTAAGTTTATTTAATTTTATTTAATTTTATCTAGTTTTATTTAATTTTATTTCATTTAATTTTATTTAACTTTATTTCATTTTTATTTAATTGCAATTTAATTTAATTTTATTTTATTTTATATTGGTAAAATAAAATAAAATATATATACTATATATTTACTATATATACTTTTGTTAAAGGTCATAAGTATAAATTATGCAAATGTAAATCTTATAATTACAGTAATCCATATTTTTACAAATAGGAATAAAATAAAAAGGAAAATAAGAGAAGCTAAAGAGACTTATGGAAGATGCCAAGAAATAGACTTACAAAACAAATATGATAACTTCAATATCCATAAGAAAGTTAAAGAATTAGCTGGTATAGCAATACAACAAACCTTAAGCATACTGTTGGACAAACAAGGAAATATTTTAGTGGAGACGGAACAAAAATTAGGAAGATGAAAAGAATATATAGAGGAATTATTCCATGACCAAAGACAGGAAAACTATATATGAATATCAGAGTAAAGAGAAGGAACCCGAAATCAAAAGTTATGCATGCAGTAAAGTCCATGAAAAATAATAAAGCTGCTGGTTCATATGAATTACCAAGTGAATTGCTAAAACTGGTCAATGAAAAAACATAGATCTTTTAGTCCAACTGCTGAGCACAATCTATTCTACAGGAATTGTTCCACGTGAAATGTTGACATCAACATTTATTTGTCTACCAAAGAAAGTAAATGCCAAAGAATGTAGTGATTATCGAACGATCAGTCTAATGTCACATACCTTAAAAACTCTGCTAAAAACCATTCATAATAGAATACACGCTAAGCTGGAGATGGATATTAGCGATTCCAAGTTAGGATTTCGGAATGGAGTGGGTACAAGAGAGGCACTATTTTCTTTTACCGTGCTGACCCAAAGATGTTTGGATGTTAATCGAGATCTTTACGTATACTTTATAGACTACAACAAGGCATTCGATAAAGTAAAACATGACCGACTTATAGAAGTACTCAAAAACAAGAATCTGGATGTGAGGGATCTAACATTGATATCAAATTTATACTACAGCCAACGATCCAATGTGAAAATTGGAAGAGAAATATCAGAAGAAGTGGAAATAAGGAGAGAGGTCAGGCAGGTTACATACTGTCGCCGTTATTATTTAATGCTTATTCTGAAGAAATCATACAAGAAGCTTTGGTAAACGAGACAGTCGGCATAAAAGTTAACGAAAGTTTAATTAACAACATTAGGCATGCCGACGATACAGTCATAATAGCCGACAAATTGGAAGACTTGGAAAGAATAATGAACAAAATATTAAGATATAGTGGAGAATACAGACTCTCTCTTAAAATCAAAAAAATCAAATTCATGAAAATTAGCAAGAACAACAATACAAATGAAATATTAACGGTAGGCGGCCAGCAGATTGAGAGAGTAAAAAGACATACTTACTCGGGAACGATAATCACAAAAAATAATGATTATACTGCAGAGATAAGAGTCAGAAAATGAAAAAGCACGTGCCAACTTTGTGAAACTGAAAAAGATTGTATGCAGCAAAGATCTGACGGCTAATTAGAATAAGGCTAATTAAATGCTATGTACACAGTGTACTCTACTACGGAGCTGAATCATGGACATTAAACCGGAATACAATAAATCGACTTAACTCGTTTGAAATGTGGACATTTAGAAGATTGTTAAGGATTCCATGGGTAGATAGTGTCATGAGATGCAGAAGTGTTAAGGAGAATAGGCAGAGAGAGGGAAATAGAAAATATAATAAAAGACAGGAAATTGCAATATGTCGGACATGTAATGAGAGGCGAAAGATTCAACATCTTGAATCTCATAATTCAAGAAAAATAGAGGGTAGGAGAAGCGTAGGAAGAAGACGCGTTTCCTGGTTGAAGAACCTGAGAGAATGGTTTGGTTGCAGCTCAAGGCAATTGTTCAGAGCAGCTGCCTCGAAGGTCAGAATAGCCATGATGATTGCCAACCTTCGTCGCGGAGATGGCACTTAAAGAAGAAGAATATTTTTACAGATTTTGCGAAAACACTAATTATTACTGATGAAGTAATAAAATTTTCAAGTAAGGATATTTGAATCAATTTGTTGAATAAATTAGGAATAAATCAACCCTATCGTTTCAAGAACAAGATATTATGTCAGATGTTTGTAGTTCAGATTTCCTTACTAGGTGGCGTAATTACCCTATTGGACAAACATGTGACTTGTCGTCTTAGCCTTTTATATAGATAGACATTTGAGTTGTCAATATGAATGAGTCAGATAAAACTAAAATATTAAAAGAATTTTTTGTATTAACAGAACAATAAAAAAAAACACTTAATTTATAACTTCAAAATTTAGTTACTTAGAAGATTGTAGGGATGCCATCGACAAGCTTTAAAACTAGACAGAAATTATTAAAAAAATAAATAAAAAAGAAACACCTTTAAAGAAGAATGACTTTAGTTAAGGATATCGTCTAAAATATCTTAAATTATTAAGAAAAGATCTAAACCCTAAACCAAATTAGTTTTAGGAGATAGGGTACATATTTAAAGAATAATAATATTCGAAAAACTTAAATCGGTACTTACCTTATGTATCACTCTTTTTATTGTCGTGAAAACCGACATAAACGACATCTTTACAATTAGAAAACAACAACAAACGAAGTACCATCGTAGAACGTGATTGTCAAATGATATTCCTGAAATAGTCCCCATTTAAGATCAGTGGCAAAGAACTATTTATTTCATATAAATATTATCCCAAGTGCCGCAATTGTTTGTACCAGTCAAATTTCCAATATGAATCAAGAAACATGTAATTATATACTTAAATAAATTACAGGTAGAGATGACAAATCTTTATTATAAGTTGTTTTGTAACGGAAAAAAATTACGAAGTCATGGAATATTCGTTTAATTCATTTTTATGAGATCACCGCAGCGAGCTTTTTTAGAATATTTTTTTAAGATGTGAGTTAATAATTCAGTTACAACGAACGTAGAGTAACTAGAAATTAAAAAGTGTTAAAAGACTTTATTTCGTAATAAATAAAATTTTATTTATTATGTTAGTAATTAAGACCACAGTGCAGTTGCTAATATGAGAATATTTTTCTTGCTATTATCAGAATCAGAAAACATGTGTGTATATTATTCTTCTTAAACTGTTAAACCATTCTCTCAGGTTTTTAAGCCATAGTGTTCGTCTTCGACCTGGTCGAACAACCTCGTTAGGAACTCCATCTACCCAACTTTTGATAGAATTATTTGATACACCCAGTTTTCAAAGGCTTTAAGTTTTCTTAAAAGTGTATCTGTTAAATTCCAATATTCGACATCGTATAAATGAATAGAGAATACTTCTTCTTCTTCATGTACCATGTCCTTTCAGAACGTTGGTTACCATCATAGCTATCTTAATTTTATTAACTGCCACCCTAAATAGCATGCTTGTATCAACACCATACCAATATCACAAGTTCTTCAACCATGAGGTTCTTCTTCGTCCTAAATTGCGTTTGCCTGGTATTTTTCCTTGCATGATATTTTGTAGTAACCTATATTTGGGACCTCTTATTACATGTCCGAAATACTCCAGCTTTCTCTGCTTGATGCTTTTCATGATCTCAGTAGTCTTGCTTAAACGTTCTAGTATTGTGGAGTTTCGAATCTTCTTCACCCAGGAAACTTTTAGAATTCTTCTATAGCACCACATTTCGAAAGCCTCAAGGCGATTTAGATCGATTTTATTCACAGTTCAGGACTCAATACTATAAAGTAAGACCGAGAACACGTAGCAGCAAAGTAGGCGGATCCTTAATGCCAGTTTTAGGTCTCTGTTACATAACACCTTGGACATCCTTCTAAAAACAGCTCTAGCCTGCTCTACCTGGATCTAATTTCGCCGTGACTTTCTGCGTTGCAATTTAATTGCTGTCCAAGGTAAACGATTTTATCAACTTGCTCAAGTTTGGTATTATTTACATATATAGACGGTTTTATATGCTGTTGTTTACTTATTATGAGTATTTTGGTTTTCCTTATGTTAAGATCCAGACCTGCCTCCCTACAACTCTCAACGACACTATCAAATAGTGCTTGCAGATCTTCTTGACTAGAAGCTAGGAGTACTGTATCGTCCGCATATCGCAAATTATTGATGACTTCGCCGGTCACAAGTATTCCTTCTTGTTTTTCAGAAAGTACTTTTCTGAAAATTCTTTCGTAGTAAACGTTAAAAATCAGGGGTGACAAGAGACATCCCTGCCGATCTCCTCTTTTAATATTGAGAGCCTGTGATTCCACACCATCTACTAAAACTGATGTTGTTTGATTCCAATATAAATTTGCAATTATTCGAACATCTCTGCCGTCCAAGCCAATGTCTTTTAAAGCTTCGATCAATATAGAGTGCTTAACACGGTCAAATGCCTTTTGGAAGTCAATAAAACAACAGTATATGTCTACAGGTATATCACATCTGCCTCTCTCGTTCCAAACCCGTTACGGAAACCAAACTGAATGTCATCCAGGTATTCCTCGCATTTATTGTAGATACGACCATGTATTACCGTCAGAAAAATTTTCAATAAGTGGTTTAACAAACTGATGGTTCTATAATCAGCACAGGTTTTTTGCTGTTGTCTCCTCAGGTAAAGCTACAAACAGTGAATTAGACCAACCATTAGATAGTTGTCCGCTGGTATAAATGGTATTGAAAATCAAAGTTATACCCTCTAAAACATTGCTATCATTTATAGAGAATACAGAGCATCTTATTAATCTAATTTTCAGTCTAAAAGTAATATTTTTTCCACATAAGGTTTTTTCATCTTAAAAAATGCTACTCTGACCCTCTCTATACCCATTCTAATCTCTTTGCTCATGTCCCAGTTCTCATTTAGATTACAACCAAGATAAGTGATACTGTTGATTCTCTTCTTTATCTTTGTGGTGTTTACCTTCACTCCATATTTATTACACGTTGTGGTAATCCTATGAATCAGATGTATTTGTGTATAAAGTACCAAAATACAGTATATAGGGTGTTCCATTAGTATGTCTAAATATTTTTGCATAATAAAATTTTAAGGCCAATTAGAGGGTGCTTCTTTAGAGGTTTACTAAACCGTTACTAAAGATATCATGGACCGAGCATGTAACAAACAACGAAGTCATGAGAAGAGTCAACAAAAAAATGAAAATATTGGAAACTTTTAGGAAACATTCTTCTAGAAAGCCACATCTCAAATGCTTCAAGTTTTTTAATAGTGGTGTCTGTAAGCGTCCATGCCTCCGCCCCGTACAACAACACAGAGAAAACATAGCATCTCAAATGTCTCATTTTTGTATCAAGGGATATGTTGTGACTTTTGAAGATGACGCTCGTTTTGTTAAAGTATCTTACAAAGCACAAATTTGATTTTTGACATACAAGAAGCTCTCTGTGTAAGTTAGTAGATATTGGTACAAAATAACACTTACTTTACTAGAACGAGAGATATTTCTAAACATTTTTAATGAAAAAGTTTCTTCAATTATTAATTTATTAAAATAATTTTCTTATCCGTCCTAACACAAGACTTAATATTTAGTTGATGGTGTTAGTTATGAGGCAAATAATCATAATAGATGTGACAATCAGAAGTAATCACTTTTTTAATCCCTACCAGTATCTATACTTTTATGCAGTAATGGGTATTGAGCTACTGTGTTTAGTCTTGTACTCATAACAATCTGGAATTTTCCGAAGTCTTACTGTTAGTTCCATCCACTCTTCGTCAAAGTTAAGCTTTACCTGAAGATAGTCGGTAGGTTTATAATCAATAGCTCATATATCTACTACTTTAGGAGTACCTGCGTTTCATCCAGATCTTAGTGTTTAAGTTGATTGATCTGCCTAATTAAAAAAAATAGTTATGTACCAATTGCGTTTCAAATGAGAATGGACGTTGTCTTGCATCCTGTGTTGCAGATAGGTAATCACTAGGTATGGGGATACTGCGATTTTTTAATTTTTGTTCAATGGCACTATGTACTGAGTCACATTTCATTTGAGTGTTACCGATTTCTAGGTATTTTTAGATTATTGATATATTATGAATCATTGCAAAGTTAAGCAAACAGTTGGAAAGAGTATTCCTATTTTGATTTGTGCAATTATCAGTAAAGGTTAGAATAGGTAAACTTTTAGGTAAGCAGTGACTTATCGAGTAATCAATTAGTAGTGATACATAGGTAGAAGCGTCTAGGTTTGTACCACGCAATTTTCTTTGTAAAGTTTTGAAAAGATGCGCTTGTGACTTGTACATAGGCTCAAGGAACAATTTACTTGTACTTTACCTTTTGTAATAAGAAGGCATCTTCGGTAGCGAGTCAAAAAAATTATTTAAACTTTTGGATTGTTTTTGTTTCTGGAACAGTTTTCCTAAGGTTTGTATTTTAATTATCCCGGAAAGGCTGGATACAAAAAAAAACTTTTTTCAACCATGACTGAACGGTCAATGAACCTAATCCTGTTGTGTTTAAAAACAAGTGCGGCATACTGGAATAGTTATTGTACCATTATCATCTTCAATGAGCAGTGAAAATTTTAGGGTGTTGCTTCTATTTAAATTTCCGGGTATCGCTTTTAGTGCTGTACTTTTTTTCTGTACATTGGAGTTGTACATGAATGTTAACTATAAGACAAGCATAAAAATAATACCAAATTGTACTAAGGAGTATTAAAATACTTATTTTTTCGCGTCGTAGCGCTGGTATGCACTAATCCCATATAAATATAGCAGGCAATGAAAGATAGGAGATAATGCTTCCTAGAATTTGACAGTTTAAAATAGAATATTATATTCCCACCATTGAGTTAGTATATACTGAAAAAGGAGACGACATAAGGCGATTATAACGGGGTCAATTCCGCCATATTGTCGTGATACAAAAGTCAACTGTCACCGTGTTTATAGCTGAAGCTTATAAAGTGATTCTTGTGTATTATATACAAATTAGAACGATTTTTTTGTGTTATTATAGTGAAAAAACATATTTTGTTGTGCTATAGAAAGTTGTTTTTCCAGAAGCTCTTTGGATAAAAAGAAATCACCTATAATCCATCTCATAGGTTAGTGTAAACAATAACCTGGACCGTATTAGTACTTTTTAATAAGCGTAAACATTGTTTTCTGGTACAAAATTTGGTTATCAGTCATTAATTTAAGTAGATGGTAAGTTTATTAAATCAGAAGCTCATCTACATGCAGAATATACAAGAAATATAAATTTTTATATACACTAAACCAAATTTGTACCAGTTTTCTGTTTTAGTTTGTTTAGTAATACAATCAATATTTTAGATTTCCTAAAAATTAAAAGCATAAGCTTATATGAATAAATTTTGTGAGCAGAGGGAATTGGAGTCGTACGAAATATAGCATTCTTGTGATTAAAATAGCGACAAAACATGGTTTCTTGTGCTGCACGAAGTTGTTCTTGCAGAAGCTCTTTGGATAAAAAGAAATCATCTGGAATAACATATCATAAGTTAGTACAAACAATAACCTGTAATGTATTAGTAGTTTTTAATAAGTGTAAACATTGTTTTCTGGTACAAAATTTGGTTATCAGTCATTAATTTAAGTAGATGGTGAATTTATCATAATCAGAAGCTCATCGTACATTCAGAATATACAAAAAAAAAAATAAATTTTGGTATACACTTAAGCTAATTTGTACCAGTTTTCTGTTTTAATTTTGTTTAGTCATCACATCAATGTTTT